GATGAGCATGAACGGTATACGAGTGGAGCGACTGAGCGGAGCGCACACGCATAGAGCGGGATAATACGCAGAGCGTCACACCACGTGGAAGTAAATCCTGAGCGGTGAACTAATTTTCGGCAGCCGGAATTTCAGTGCCATCTCTAATTATTGGCGACATTAGAAATGGATATTATATAATATTTGAACATTTTAGCAATTTAAAAATATTAAAAAAGGATTTTTTACACGGCACCCCTGCTCTCGACAGGTGGCACCCCGGTTGGGAAACACTGCTTTAATGTACTACTGTTTAGAAGTTTGGGGTGATATATATTTAGAATTTGAAAGATGTAAATATTCAGCAGGGATGCATTAAATTTATCACAAGTGACAGTAAAGACACTTACAACGTAACAAAAGATTTCTGTCTCAAATAAATGTTGTTCTTTTCACTTTCTATTCATCAAATAATCCTGAAAAAAAGTGTGTCATGGTTTACACAAAAATTCTATGCAGCAAAAACTGTTTTCAACATGGATAATAAAAAGAAATGTTTCTTTAGCACCTAATCAGTATATTAAATCATTTCTGAAGGATCATGTGACACTGAAGACTGGAGTAGACTGGCTGCTGAAAATTCAGCTTTGCCTTCACAGGAATAAATAACATTTTAACATTTATTAATATAGAAAACAATTATTTTAAATTCTAATATTTCACAATATTTTGATATTAACACATAAGAGGCCCCAAACTTTTTAGTTAAGTTGACTTAACTTTTAAAAACACATCTCTTCCATCTTTAGCTGACCCTCTAACTCTAGCACTCTCTATTTTAATTCTAATTCTATTCTTTAAAAAAACAACAAAAACCTGCCCCTTTTAGATATAACTGCTTGTTTTCTTTAAAAAAAAAACTAACACTAGCTTCTCTATTCTTTTTGTATTCTATCTATTTGTTTTCTTTTTATTTATTATACAATTAACAAAAAGCTAAAAAAAATGCCTCTAACACTAGCTTGCTCTATTCTTTTTCTATTCTATCTGTTTCGTTTTTATTTATTATATAATAAAAAAAAAACCTTGCTACATGCACTAAGCTAACTTTTCATAGCACTTGCATATCATTGCTCATTAACAAAAAGCTAAAAAAATGCCTCTAACACTAGCTTGCTCTATTCTTTTTCTATTCTATCTGTTTCGTTTTTATTTATTATATAATAAAAAAAAAACCTTGCTACATGCACTAAGCTAACTTTTCATAGCACTTGCATATCATTGCTCTTATGTTGATTTTGATTGCTTCCATTGTCCTTATTTGTAAGTCGCTTTGGATAAAAGCGTCTGCTAAATGACTAAATGTAAATGTTAATGTGTGTGTACATATAATATGTACTCGTACAAATGTTGCATGTCTCCATTCTGTTCTCTTCCCTCCTCGTCTCATCCCAGCATCCCCTCCCAACGCTGCGTCTCGGCCAGTCGTCTGATGTGCGTCAGGGTGAGTTCGTGGTTGCCATGGGGAGCCCTTTCTCTCTTAAAAACACAATCACATCTGGAATCGTCAGTTCTGCCCAGAGAGGAAGTAGAGAACTGGGCCTGTCCAACTCCAACATTGACTACATCCAGACTGATGCTACCATAGATGTAAGGGCACAGGAAACGACATTAGAGAATTTGGGTATTACTGCTTGTTCATTTCATTTATCAGATAACTCATATATTGCATCACATTTCTATTTTACAGTTTGGAAATTCAGGAGGTCCCCTTATAAACCTGGTGAGTCACTGACTGACATTTACACAACATACCGCTAGTACATTTTGGTTTTAGAAACAAGGAAGTTGAGGTGTTTAATTTTGCAGGTCAAATTTAATTTATAGGTCATTTGACTTATTTGTCTACCTGATCAATCTATCTGAGAACCTGCTGATTGGTCACGTGATGTAATGCATGTGATATGAACTAACATGTGATGTTTGTAACTTTCAGGATGGTGAGGTCATCGGCATTAATACCATGAAAGTGACTGCAGGGATTTCCTTCGCCATTCCCTCAGACAGAGTCCGCATCTTCCTTGAGCGTGCGGCAGACAAACAGAGTAAGAATGACCCTTGACCTTCTCATTCTTGTTAGTGACATCATTTGTATTGAGTGTGAATCGGCTGTTTTCAGAGTCCTGGTTTGGAGAATCAGGATCAAAACGGCGTTACATTGGAGTGATGATGCTGACTTTGACCCCCAGGTGCCTATCTGTGTTTTAATAACAGACCCTAAATGTGTGTGAGATGGTCACTGTATTTTTTTTTTAATGGTTTTTGCCCTCTCAGTATAATAGAAGAGCTGAAGACGCGTGACATGTCCTTCCCTGATGTTTCTCATGGAGTTCTCATCCACCGTGTTATTATAGGATCTCCCGCCAATAGGTAAGCAGCACTGCTCTCACCCCCATGTTGATAGAGGCCTCCTATTGTCGATGTCATTTCCTGTTTTCTGTTTCACAGAGCTGGAGTGAAACCAGGAGATGTTATTGTTGAGATAAACGGGTCAAAGGTGAACTCGTCAGAGGAGATCTATAACGCTGTGAGAACAAGCGACAGCATAAACGTGGTGGTCCGGCGGGGGGCCGACCTCCTCATGCTGCACATGACCCCTGAACACACGGAGTGACGTCCCATGAAGCTTACGCATATAAATAAGAGAGCAATAAATGGTTCGGCTGAGTGAGAAATGAGAAGCGAAAGATTATTTGAATAATTATTATAGTTGGAGATAATCGTTGGAGAGTTTCAAGAAGGTAATAGGGCTGAACAGTATAGTAGCAAAGCTGGACGCTTGTGTAGTCAAAATGTTATAATTGTGCAGTTTGTGCACTTTTTTTTGGAAGTGTATGAATCAGTGTGGATGATTCTGAGCATTACACTGGATAAATATCAGTGTGTCCTCTCAAACTACACTGTATCAATATTGTTTTTGAAGGAATACATCTAAATATTTGTGCGAAACACAGTTTATCATGAGATGAATGAACATTTGGCTGCCATAATAAAAGTGGGTGCTCTTATTCCAACATTGCAGATTTTTTGTATTCAATGTATTTTAATACATTTTACAAACCGCTGTGACTTCACAATAAAACATTGGAATATCAACGTTTTTGGATCATTATATATTCACAGTGCTTTCAGAAAATATGACCAAGTACACTTTCAAAATTAATATCATTGCGTTAAGCCTTCCACAAACTAGACTACATGATTTTTCAGAAGTCGTGTGATTGCTGTTCTTTGCATGTTACACAACTGTCCGTCATAAGCCGTGTCAGTTCCGGTCGAAACACATTTCACACTGCAGCCTGCAGGACTTGGATCACAGACAAGTCTATTTAAAGGAATAGTTCACCCAAATATGAAAACGTTGCCATCATTTACTCACCTTCAAGTTGTTCCAAACCTGTAAGTTTCTTTCTTCTGTTGAACACGAAGATATTTTGAAGAATGTTGGTAACCAAACAGTTGCTGGTAGCCTTTGGCTTCCATAGTATTGTTTTCCATACTATGGAAGTCAATGGCTACCAGCAACAACCGCACTTTATACTCATTTAGCCCTGATTTCCCCCTCGCCAACAGTTGAAGATTGCAGACAAAAGCCCAGAATTGGAGGCAAATCTGTACTTGTGCATGACGAATGCTATTTTTTGATTTTCAAATAATTCAGATTGCAGTGCAGTTGCTAGGGTTTTCAGGGTGGTTGCTATGCATTACTAGAACAAAATAAAATGAAGACAATAAAAAACTAAGGCACTGTAGCTGTTTTGGCTTTATGAGTCTTAAGCAGAGGCCTTTGTAATGTAACGAGTCATGACTGATCATTTATTATTACCATTTATTTGTTTAATGGCTCATGAAACTTGAAATACTTGAAATGATTTGAATTACAACTTTAAATAACACTTTATTTTTCATCTTTAACAGAGTTGCATGTGACATGAAATATTTTACTGTAGCTGAACACATGAATGCATAACCAGTTCAGTAAAAAGACAAATCTAGGACAGCGTGTAAAAACGCAGCACTGAAGATTTAACAAGTCATACATGAAAGAGCGTTTGAAAATAAAATAGGAGTTGAGTCAGAGCTTTGAAGCATAACGTACATTCACACTTTGCAACAGCTTTTAAACACGAATGCTCATCTGGAGTACAAAACATTCAAGTATTTTTAACTCACAGAGACAGCAGCACACGAGCTGTGTGATGCATCGACAAGGCTTTTTAAACCTTTCAGAAAATAAGCACCTGATTGCACTGTAAACACATACAGCAGGCTGTAATACTGTTCATTTACATCTAATCTTCACACTACTCAAGCCAGACTCAGTAGCCCAGAGTGTTTTTTGGAGTTCTGTTTTCATACAAAATTATAGGTAATGTCAATACAGCTATACTCTTGGTGTAAAAACTTTGGATACTGTAGATTTTAGGATTTCTGTAATTGCAATGTGAGAAGTTAATTAGTTTATGGCTGGTTTGAATGAATAAATATTTGACTCTGGATTAACCTACATATTAAGATTGTCTCAATATGCTATTATGAGATCTGGTTGTTAAGTTGTCCAGGGTATTTCTCAAACTTCTTCTCAGCTTCCTCACTGAAAGCATCACCTGAAATAAAGACAAGGGAAAATAAATCTTTCAGTATTTGACATTCAATTAAAGCACTTTTCCAATAAGACAATAAGAGTAAGACAATATTCAGAATAGCATATTACCCTGATATACTCTTACTATTTTTGCAGTATATAATATGTGAACTAAAATGGTATTTGGACTGGAGTTGTGTAGGATCATTGTGATGTTTTTATCAGCTGTTTTGACTCTCATTCTGACGGCACCCATTCACTGGTGAGCAAGTGATGTAATGCTAAATTTCTCCAAGCTCATCTACAACTTTTCACTTTAAGGCTTTGTATTCGTCTCTCACCAATATGGCAGTTATGGACCCAGATCCTGTGCCCATCATATTTGCAGTTACATTTCATGGCATTGTTTGTGAAGTCACTCTCAGCAACCTCATAGTTAGGATTTATCACAACCTGGAAAGAAGTGAAAACAAGTCTAAATACTTTTAAATCAACAGAATACATGTTTTTGGTGACTGGGGACAATGATCTGCACCCATTCTCTGACCTGAAGGATATAATTTCCTGGTTTGACATCAGTAATATCGATCCACTGGCAATCAATGTCATGACGATACAAATCCCAGCATCCCACTGTGATGCCCTGCTCACCAAAGTTAGCACACTCATATCTCTTGGAAACACCTAGAATAAATACAGATATTTACACAAGTGAAAATATGTCTAAGTAAACAGAGCTGACTGTAAGTGTGTATTTGGATGAGTGTGATTTACCCTCGTCACAATCTGTGTCCTCCAGGCAGAAGCTGGCTTTGTGTCCTTCTGCCACTTTAGTGCCATTGGCAGACATCAGGTCATAGTGTGTGAAGATGTCCATGCTATGATAATGCCTGTGGAGTCACACACACACACACACACACACACACATAACAAATCCCATCAAAACTGAGTGAAAAAAAAAATCAGCTAGAAAAGCAGTATAGACTAAGGGTCTTCAAACTATGGTCAATAGATGCCACAAAACATTAGAGAGAAAAACATTAAACCCCTCAAAACACTGGTTAAACAATTTATTTGTTCTTGAAATGTTGTGATTTTTTTTCTCATTTAGGGTCATGAATGTGCATGCAAATAAACCATGTCTGCATTTGTGATCGGAGAAATGACAATCAACAAGCGTTACTCTACACTGCTCAACTATTGCAAAACTCGCGTTTGAATCGTCAGTGGCAAATTCTTTAAATATGAAAACATACTTACAGTCTGTGAGTCAGAACAGCCGGCATTGTAGTCTACTCTTCCAGGATCAGGAAACAGTCCTCCATAAAATGTGCTGCACACATCTGAATATTTGGGTTGAACTGTTCTGGAACAGTGTTGTAAATACAACTTAACCACTGATTTCTAGACATGTCGAAACACAGCGTCACACACGGCGGCCTTGAGTGAGGAACGGCCGGCGGGCTTGAGAACGGCACGGCCGGCGGATTTGACGAAGGAGCATCCGGCGTACTTGCGGCAACCACATGTGATGTCCACGGTGAAAGCCGATCCGGCGATCCACAGCGCAAAGCTGTTGCATTTCCTCAGCGACCAGCACAGATCAGCTCTAGGCATGATGAAGCGGATATCGTTCTCTTTTGGAAGACCAAACAAAGTAGTTTCGCTTTCACAACGAAACACACAGCGTCTTCACGACATGGCGGCGGCAACAACAATACTACAGCGAGAATCAAAGTTACGCTTTCTTTCTTTGAGTGAACATTTCACACATAACACTCGTTATGCAAATCTTCCCACATCGTGACGTAGATATGTGAGGGCGTGTTAGAACGAGCCGTTTTAGGTAGACGTGGTTGACTCTTAACTTTTATAAAGAATATCTCTTTGGATTTGAGACTTTAGTCTTTGCAACTTTACAGATCTTCTTTATGCACCAAGAGCTTGTAACACTCCAAAGAAAAAGGAAAAACTGAAATCATATGACCCCTCTAACACATGGACGTGTTTTGGAAAGACTATATACATTTACACTGGTTACATCAATTGTGTTGGGGTCAAAATTACTCCCCATTGGTTTCCATGCAATTCACCAAAAAGCTACACTGAAAAACAGTAAAGAGTTGAAAAACTTTTATTGTAGCTTGTCAAAGACTAAACTATGAAGATTCATCCAATGAATTAAATTATCCAAGGAAAATCCACTGTTCTTCATCTATTTAAGCTTCACAGTCAAAATTAGATGTTAGATTTTTGGATATCAATTACTATTCTGTTGTAACACTGAAAAAGGCAGATGCTATTTACACCAATTACAAATATCAATAAATACTATTTAATGTTACATACTATTTATACTTAGATGTGGCACGTCAGTGTGCAAATAGGGAAATGTCAAAGAAATGTTTTTATTTTGTTTCTGTGCAGCTAATTTTGAGTCAACCCTTATGAAAATGAACCATGATTTTATAGTAGTAAAAGTGTAGTTACCATCATGTATTTTTGGCGTATTAAGTAGCATTTGTAAAACCACAGTTTTACTACAAATACCATGATTAATCTATGGTTAGTGTAGCAAAACCATGGTTAATTTGTGGTTACCTTGGTTTAACTATAGTAACTATGGATTTTTTTATTTATTTGTGGTAAAACCATGGTTAATTTTTGTACGGGAAACTTACCTCTAAAACAAAGGTAGGAACCATTTTTGCAACACAATAGGAGTTCATAATTTCTTATATTTAATTTTTTTTAGTCTCTGACCAGCTACAGTAGAGGTTTTCTGTTTTTACATTAGTTTTGATTTTTGGTGAACTGCACGAAAACCAGTGGGGGTCAATTTGACCAGCAACACAAAAAGTGTACCCAGATTTTCAACACAACAGGAATGACAATTATTTAAATTCTTTTTAACAGTATGGTTACCCGTGACATGCGTGCCAGACCCATGAGTGACGGCCTGCTTTAGGTCTGAAGTCAGCCCGTCCGATGTTGTGTATCTGTGAGGAGAAGCGGAGCAGGCGGCGGTGACCGTAAGGCCAGTTAGCTTTAGCGGCGCTCTTGGACAGACAGTCCTCCTCTGCTGCACAGTACAGCATGTGTAACGGCCGGTCCTCTATATACGTCGTCTGCTGCACTAGCGGTGCATTCAGCACTAGATCAGATGCAGCTGGGGAAATAAAATTGTACATTTTAAGATCAAGCTAAAAAAATATGCAAAAACCTTGAAACCGCATGCTGGAAATGTAAAATGAAAGTTCAAAGAAAAATATAGCCTTGGTCCAAGAATTTGATTTAGATTTTTGTTTCTATTTTGACTGCATGTTGGTCACTGAACTGGATGTCTGAGGTTTTAATGTCTGAACAAACAGTTTTGCTCAACGCACAACAGTTGAGAAAATGATAAGTTGTCTCATACATAATCCAGACAGGTGTAAGTCATTTGAAGTCAAGCCTTTGCCATGTGAGGTTCACTAATTACAGACCAGTGCTCAGAGAAAGATAAACAGCAGACTGACCACAGCTCTAGATCTACCATCAGCAGCAGACTGACCGTCTGAGAGGTGAGAATTCCAGCCATCTATAAACATATTATGAATAACTCTTGCAAAACAGTCAGTTTTGACTCTTATACTGTTTGACTGAACTAGACTCTGGACTAGATTCTAAATATGGTATTGCTTTTATACAGCAGTTCTATAAACAAGTTAATACTGAGTGACCTACATTTTAAACACAATATTGCCAATTAGCTGCTTCCCAATTCACAAACTTATGCACTACTATATGCCATTTTAGTATAAATAGTGGGAGTAGTGTATTCACACTTAAAATTCCAAAAAGAAAGAGTGCAAATGCTTGGATGACACACTTGATTAACAGAAAAAAATGAAGTGTGGAAGTGTTGTACAATAGAGGGAAGAGTACATATTGTATAGTATAAGTGCATAGTGTTTAGGGCATCATTTGGGATATAACTTTTGTCTATTTTTTTCCAGAGCCAACAAAAATAGTTCCAAACAAAGCCCAAGCAAAATGAATGTGCATTTCTGAGCACAGCACAGTGAATGAGGGTTTTTAAACAAATCAGTTAAGTTAATGTTTCAGTGACTCACTCATAAAGAAGGTTACTGTTACTGTACTACATTTGCTGAAGAACCTACTTTGAAATCTTTTAAAAAAGTATGTTTTATATAGTACGAATGTAGATAGTATAAATTAAATTTGAATGACAACATGACAACACTTAGTCCCATGGTCTTATGGTATTGTAAAGTGTCCATTGGATCTCGCCAGAAGTAGTACATCATGCATGTATTGTTCGCCTACTGTTTTATTAATACTATGAATTTGGGCACAACTACTCTTTTCACATATACTATATAGTAGCTTTTCACATCTAATATATAGTAGGTTCATAGGCACATTCAGATGCAGAGAGTCACTTCCTGAATTAGTCAGTACTGTTAACCTAATCAGTTGAATAAATGATTCAGTGACTCACTTATAAAGACAGTCACTTTTGTAAACATAACCTGCAAAGGTCTCACTGAAAAATCCCTATCATTAATACAAAGACTGACAGTCTATCTGAAAGGCGCAAACACTGGCAGAGTGCTACAATCAGTGAAAAGTCCTAGTGCTGTTGAACTAAATACAAGCTTAATATCAAACAATCAAATTCGAGGTATTCTTTATATCTATGTGTGCATATGTGTAAGGTTACTCACTTTCTGAGCAGATAACTCCTGCAGAGAACCGCGCTGCTGCTTTCTGGCAGCTGACCGTTCTGTGGTGTTGGCACTGGCTGAGAGACATCTCATCTCCTGTACATTTCACTCCACTCATAACCATCTCTGTCACATTACTGCTGTCCCAATACCATGTTTCCTTAGCAAACACGCAACACAAACAAACACAGACAGATGGTGATTTACAGTTTACTATGAAGAGATTGTCAGTCACATTCCATTTTGAAATGCTATTTTTATAACTACTTAAAGATTGTAAAGCATTAAGCATCTAACACTTGAAGACCAGGTCA